TTTAATAGAGGTGCTATCTATAATAGTGCTGCTCCTACATTGAAAATTCCCATTCCCATTTTTTGTTGCATGCATTAAACACATAACAGCCCAGAAACGTTAGAGTTACCAAGAGTCAACCTACCCAAGGAAATAACATCAATAACAAAAAAATTCTAAATTTACTTAAAAAATCTTTTAAATAATTATTATTGGTTGAAAATTTCATAAACAATTAATTCCTCAATTATCATCAATGTTTGCTAATGAAGCGTAAAAAAAATATACGAACTCGCATCAGTAACAATGACGTTTTTTTCATATCACATTTTATGAACTTATTTTGTTCCATAACCAATCTAATTTCCTTCATTCAAAGTACTATTATCTATAAATTTTTTCCATTAAGCCAACACCATAACCATTACCTTACGGGTCAAATATTAGTTGCAAAAATAAGAGGAAAAGTATTTAAAAAAGCGCTACACAGTGTAAATAAAAAAAATAAAATAAAAAAAAAAAACGGCAAACTGTCTTTCAGTTCCGGAGCTTCTCCACGCTTACAGTAATATTTTTTTTTAAATTTCCCTTAATAGTCATCACGCAAGTATTTACAAAAGAACGGAAAGATCAAAATTCACTCTTCCCTCTTCATTAACAAATACATAGTTTTTGTTTCATTACTTATTCATTGTTTTTTCTTTTTTTTCCTTTCAATCAACTAACTTGCTCTCCCATCGGATATTTTTAGCAGGACACATGCACCTACCGGCCAACCAGTTTTTTAATTTTTTTTTATTTTACATACATAGTTGTAACTCCTTGCGGTAACAAAGCACATAAGTATATGTACACCCATACATGCATACGTAATTGTGTCATTCTTATGTTGTATATGTATATTATATATATGTATAACGCATTTTCCTTTTAATACCTTTTTTTTTTCTTTTTTTTTTTCTAATTATCATTGTTTTTCACACTTCGTTCACAGAACACATATTAAGCACTGACAGGATTACTCTTAATCATACACGTGTATAATAATTACGTACACATTATTGTTATCTTTGTCAATAATGGTTGATTCAACAATATTTCAAAATTATTGTGTGAATATGTGTATATATGCAATTTTCATCGTCACAATTAATAATCGCTATAAATGTATATGTATATGCATTAGGTAACGGGGGGAGACTTGAGAGAAGTATAGGTAATACAATATAGGTGTTGGTGAAGTGTGCACACGCTACACGGTCTTTTTCTCATAGGTAAGTATATTATATGAATTAACTCAAATAATAAAATGAATATCGTTTTCAAAATTCGTGGGAAGATCCTGAAGACTCGACTCCGTGTTTTTGATGATTATAGTTATACGTATATAAATAATTGTAAGTAGATCGGCAGTTTGTGTGAATACGATGTGTCATCCACCACATAATATAATATAATGTAGGTACTTCATCGAAGAGGTCGGGTGATGGATAGTATGTAAGTGGCGTAAAGCGCGAGTATATGTAATAACTGCAGAAGCTAGAGCCTCGGTGTTTGTTTGTTTGTTTTTTCTCTGATCTCTTTGCTCCAACATCTTGATTTTGTTGTATCCTCTTATTATTGTTTTTTTTTTTTTTTTTTATTCGTATAACGCATAAATAAATAAACAAACAAACAAATCGTCGCGCTACGATTGAACATAGTGTGCAGTCGCTATTGTTATTGATATTATCATTATTATTGTTGTTGTTATTTTTATGCTCGTTAATCGTGCCTGCGCTGCGATATAGGAGGAGCCGTAGTGGATTTGTTGTTCGCAGCTCGCTCGCTCGTTCGTTGCTCAATCCCCGATAGCTGAAGCAGGCCAAGAAGAAATGATATGCCGGTTTTTAGTATCGTTAAGTATGTCTCGACCGATTTTCAACAATTTCTTTTTTTTATTTTTCTTTCACTTTTTCAAGCATTATACCCGATGCTGCGCACGTGCACGCGTTTTTTCTATCATTTGTTCATCTATATCTATGTATTGTGTACTAACTCTGGCAATTCTTTAGCTCAGCTATTTTTTAAATATTTTTTTTCTATGTTTTAACACGAATTGCTTCGAGGCGTTGCGATGCTGCATCCTCTTACGCTGCGTGGGTTTATAAAGCACAAGCGAAAGAACACATTCATTAGTAAAACATGAAAATAATGCTGCACGGCTGTGTAGGTTGTGTACAGTGGGTATATAGGTACGTCATCGTGGGCGCACCGTCTTCTCATGCGGCGAGAAAGTGGCTTTTTTTGCTAATTGGACTCGTTAAGAGTACCTATATAGGTACGAGGTAGGGGGCGAGGAACTAGGTTTTCATGGGGTTGGCTGATTTTGAATTGGGCATTTCCTTCCTCTGCAAGCTCAAATTATTTAGAAAAATGCAACTCGAAATATACATGACTAAGGTGATTATTTTTCGCCCACAAATAATTAAACGTTTCAACGTACATTTATTTATTTATTTTTTTTTTTTTTTGGTAAAATTTGAAATGTAGAGTAATCAACCACTTTCTGTTGCCGGGGGAGGACGATGTACACACTACAGACGAGCTTATCGTGCGCTGTGAAAAAAGCCATGCAGTTGACTCAAACGAAAACAAAATTATAATGCACAAGGGATAAGGGCGCTCTGGTTTTTCAATTGAAAAAGCATTTTGCAAGCATTTTTTTTCTGAACGAGTGGATGTATTGCGTCAACTATTATTAATGTTGTGATTATTATTATTTGCATCGCCTATCGAATAATTCTAAATAAACTTGCGATTTACTACCAGTCAACCAATTTTTTTTTTTTTTTTTTTTTCTTAGAGTATGTTATGAGATGGGCAACTGAAGGACGTTGGACTGTTAACGTTTAAGCTTGAAATACATCAGATTTTTTTTACTTTTACAGACGAAATCGTTTTTCATCTCATATAATAAATACTTGTGATACGAAAACTTATACAAAAAAGCCTGACTAGTTGTGTAATACAAAATTACAAAATACATCATTTTCAAAGAGTAAATTGTCTTTCACGTGTTATTTATAAAATCAAATTTATCATGTGTTCAGTAACATTTAAAGTTTTACTATTTTTTTTAATAAAAAATTTATTTTATACATCTTGCATCACTTAGTAACTTTACCTGCATTTTTTATTACAGCTGGTCATAAATGCTTTGAAATAATTTTTTTATCATGTACTTGAAGAATTATAACAAATTATAGTAATTCGATAAAGACACAACAATGAAATGGATGGTGTAGAGAATGTGACGTTAAAAAAAAATTCTAATGAGAATTTTTCAATTTAGCAAACAATTTTCTAGTTGCCGGTAAATTTATAAATTTACGTTTTTCATAAGCATTTTTTTTATACGTTCGTTTGTCATTTAAACACAAGAATTAGTAATATATTATTGAATAAATTAAACAAAATTATAATACTTTCATGCATGACCACACAATAATATACATCTTGATAATTATTTACATTTTTCACGTTAAAATTGGCATACAGTTTAAATTCCAGTTTAAAAAAAAAAAAAAAAAAAAAATACATAAAAAAATAAACATTACCAAAACACGACAGACGAAATCACAAAATTCTCAAATTTGAAAAGTACTGTTTCAAATTGTTGGACATATAATAAAAATTTTCATGCACCCACCCGAAAGCAAATTATTAAACATCAACTTGATGAGTTCGTATACAACATTTTTAATAAGCAACATATCAATTTACGATAAAAATTTATACTGCTCAACACACCGTCTATCACATAATAAGTAGTACAGTTTTAAAAGCACTAAAGTTACGATTAAACTACCAGGATGCAGTTAGATACGCGAGCCCTATTATGTTAAGCGTTGATGAAGCTTGTATCTTTGAACTTTTTTTCATGACAATACAATGTATTATACATTAAAATAAAAAGCACCACATACAGATATTAAATCTAATGTACGTAAAAAAAGTTTTAAACTGCATCGTTTTTTACGAACGAGTATATAAAATAATCATGAGACTTGTCTTAAATGTTGTAGTTGATAATATTACAGCTTTTTCTAATTTAAACATGAATCAACGCATCAAAGTTAAAATTCAAATGAACCCAAAAAAAAATAAGAAAAAAAGAAAATGGTAATTAGATGGGAGGAGAGATTCTAGTTACATGTGAAACCGTCAAGACTCGAGATTATTCGTTGAACCATATTTTCAAAGACCACGTGTAGCACGTGTAATTCGAACAAACCACACAGTAATCTCGTAAACAGGATATAGTCGTATGAGAAGGAACGTATATGAGAGTGCCGATTGGTTAACCATTTACAATGTTTGGCTAAAATGTTTGCCTAATGTTTGATTGATACTCTATAGTGCTTTAATGTGCATGTGTATTGTATATACATATGTATCATACATGTATATAAATCCATCGTTTTTGCACTTTAAGCACAATTAAAACTCAAAATATGGTGAGATTAATTTTTATGCACTAAACTATGAGGTATGAATATTTTTTTGATAACAACTACGTGATTTTTTTAATCATTAAAATATGATTTTAATTGTAATCTACTTGGTTCGCATGTAAAAAAGAAAAAATACATATATATGTAACCAAATTAAAATAAAGTTTCGTATTGTTTTTTAATTGATTTCAAACAAAACTTTCTACTCATCTAAAGTGATTCGACTTTCTCACTGAAGAACTCAAGTCAATTTTTACAACTTTCAATACATTTCGTTACACTCCAAATGCTTTAAAAAATAAATAAATAGCAATCATATAGACAAATAAACTTTTAAAAACTTATAAAAAATAAAATACGAAATTAAAAATAAAACAATATCAACATCTGAACGAATACAACTTTTACTTTGACAACTTTCAACATTAAAAGCAAATTACGCAGACTCAAACTCATCATACAAAACCTAACTAATCAACACCTAAGGCTAAATTATAATTTTGTGTTAAAATGAGCTCTACTTACACATTGGTGAAACGTAGTTGCTGGGAAATACTCCGGAAAGACCGTTTAATTCGCCTCGCCACCACGACTCCTCGTCCTTGGACAGAACGACAATTACGTCTCCCTTTTCGAAGTTGAGCTCATCCTCGTTTTGTGCTTTGTAAGGATACAGTGCCATGACTTTTTCTGTTGGACAACCATAATTTTTTAATTAGATTAAAATTTTTTATAATTATTTTTGTACAAAATTAGCGTTAATGTACCAACCGGCAAACGGATCCATCGTTGGAGAATCTTGGTATCTATGAGAAACTGGTGTACTGCGGTTACTAGTGCTGATCAGAAGTTTTACATACGACGCTGGGAACCAGCCGATTTGTTTCTTCTTTCCTCGAGCCTGTAATTGTAAAAAATGATAATTATTTTTGAAAAAAATCAGTATTAAAAGAATAAAAAGAAAAACCAACAAATGCTCACCTGTAATTCACCTTCCCACCATCCAGACTCGGTTTTTTTGCGCACTGCTATCAATTGACCTTTTTGTAGATCTAATTGTTCAGGACTCGTGCCTTTGTACGTTGCAATAACTTGCACGATTTCAGGCTTTCTTCCTCTCTGTGTATGATTAATGAGATAAATCGATGGATCACATGTATATGCGCAAGGAATGTGTTACGATTTTACTTTCAAACGATTTAGAAAAATCATAATTTTTTTTTTAAACAATTGACGAGAAATTTTACTGTTCTAAATCGTTAAGATTTAATGTTAGAAGATAAAAATTGGTAGAACCAAAGAATAAATTAATATTATATACAAAACATTTTTTTAATGATTAACATGTGCATTAAATAACCAAGTATATCTTAATTAATGCAACAAATTACCTTTGTATTATACTGTTTTGAGATGAGACAGGCCAATGAGTGTCCAAACATTAATTGAAAAGATGGCATCGAGATTGAACGTCCAAGGTGCACAAGGGACAAACAATCAAATGTTTGTGTTATTAAAAAAATAAAAAAAATAAAATAAAATGGAAAATGAGCGCCTGACATCAAAGAATAAGGCTTGGGATTGACGTAAATGTGTGAGGATACATAAAAATATTGATTCACAAATAAATGCATGAATATTAGAAAAAAAATATTGAAGCACAAAGTAAATTACTAAAATGAACATATTATTCGTTGTTGTTAACAAAGAACAAACAAATAAAAGCGAGGGCGCGAGAAGTTTACCTGCTGCGCAGACATGGCTGCAAAGTCTGGCAGCTCGGCTCTGTCCTCGGCTTCGGCTCGTTCCTCCTCGAGCTGCTCGGCAGTTTTCTCCTGCTGCACATGGCAAACAAGCGAAAAAAGACGCGAGTGTGAAAAGTTGTGTGACGTTTGTTGTATGCAAACGATCACTACAGGTGATTAGTATTTCAACGTTGTAATATTATTGTCACGTTATCACATGTTTTAAGCGTGAGATTTTTTATTGCTTTTCATCGAAAAGTTAAATATTTTGACGTGTAGAAACGATAGGTAGTCTGAGAAAAAATTATTTTATAAAATATACGCACTGGTTTCTCTTGCGCTTGTATTACAGCCTCTACAGGTTTAATTATTTCTTCTGGTTCAGGTGTCGCTGGAGCTGCGGTGGTCTATGAAAACGTGATACACCCCACAAATGAAATTAAGCATATGAAATGAAAACGTCACAAGTGAACGAGAGAGCTTCAGTCACACAAAGACAGTTATGTCTTAACATTAGGCGTGAATGAAATGTAACTAAACTCTGGCGCAAATTTATTCTTCAAATCAAATTTCACTCAATTATTTTTAAAACGTAAATCGTGCCCGAGTACTTTGTTATCAAAATCTTGTTAAAATTTTTTATAACAAACAGAAGCGTAACTCACCTGATCCGGCATATCGTACTTCTCAACGTAATTTGAAGGAAAAATTCCTGTCCTGTCGCCAACCACACCCGTCCACCAGTCCCCGTCTTTTTTCGTAACCAAAATGACGTCACCTTGATTGAAATTGAGATCACCAGCTTCGTTAGAAGCGTATGGATAAAGTGCCATGTAATATTCGTTAAGGCCACCGCCGAGAGCTTTCGTTGTGTCTTGACCGTTTGCAACTTTATATTTAACGTAAGACTTTGGAAACCAGCCCACTCTACCAAGGCTCGATTCACCATAACACCAAACATCCTTAAAGATATTTCATTTACATATTTGTAATTAATGTACGAGGGGAAAAATATATGACAAGAAAAATGTTTTACCTGTTCTTCTTTAATCGTAACTGTCTCTCCTTTACCAAAGGACAAATGTTGATCAAGCGTAGGTCGATACTGATACAGAGTGATGGCTGAAATGTTACACAATAGACCTTCTCCTAATTTAGGAGTGATGGGTTCGATGTACGGACCCTCACCTACCGCAGAGCCTGCATCAGACAAGTTTTCAGGAACTTCCACAATTTCTCTGCAAATTTACAGAATTCGTGTAAATTCAAATACTCTTGTTGAGTATGAATGATTATCAAAAAAAATTTATTGTAAGGTCTCACTCTAACGTTCGTTTTTCTATGCTATCCTGATGTGCAAAGGCATCGCCAACAACGGCAGTACTGGCCACGACTTCAAGAGGTTCAACATATGATTCCGGAAACCAACCCGTATGGCCTCGAATCTCACCTGCTAACCAGCCGGGTTCTGCATTTTGCACCGACTGTACCTGTTTTTTCAATAAAAACGTTTAAACTTATGTAACAAAGTTAACATAATTAAAAAACAAAGAAAATAATAAAGGGGTCACTAACGTTAATAACATCTCCAGGTTGGAAAGAAATCTCATCTTGATTTCTAGCAACAAATTCGTAAAGAGCTCTGTATTTCCTCGTTCCGCTGACATCAGCTTTTTCTGCTTGAGATACTGCCGTGTCGTCCGATGGCCATGCGTCGATGTCCACGTCACCAGCAGTGTCACCCCAGGCATCTTCTCCCCACGTTGAGGTTGTGAATGAAGCTGGATTCGTTTTCTGACGCATCTCCAGAACAATTGCTTTCTTCTCCTCGAATTTTTTATTAAGATCCATACAATTTTCCAGCAAAGTTTGCTGATCCTTTTGTATTTCCTCTGTTTTTACGTAAAAATCAATATGTCATCATCTCTACACAAGCAGAATAAAATTTTATTTACAACTTTAATCCTCACCTAATTGGTTATTGCTATTTTCCATTTCCTTTTCTTTATCCTTGATTTCTTGTTCGAGATCCGTTATTTTATCTTTCAATTGTTTTATTGCAATTTGTTTAAGCTTCTGAGCTTCTTGGTCTTGCGATTTGCTTTTAGCTTCAAGCCTTGCTTTTTCTTGGCTAACAGCTAACAGTCTTTGATTTTGCTCGCGTAACTTATTTTTTAATGCTGACATCTCCTGAAGCTGTTGATCTCGGGTCGTTCTCATACCATCGATCGTAGTTTTTACCGTAGATACACCAACACGCGTGTCACAAATTTTTTGAGATAATTCTTTGACTCTGTCGTTCTAAAAATAAAAATTTAAAATCATTGAATTACTTTTATCCACGATTAATGTTCATACGTTTCAATGTTATGTATGTATACCAGTGAGCCAAGCTCGATAGTTAACGTCTGATTTTTTGCTTTCAGTTTCAAAAGGATATCTTGTTCCTTTTGCCGTTGAGTTTGCAACTCTTGTGACTTTTGTTTTTCCCATTCTAATTGACGTTGTCTTTCCATCTCTCTAAAAAAAAAAACAAATTTTTTTTTAATCAATATTATCAGAGGATACATTTTTGCCAACTACTTACTTTCTTGCTGCTTCTCTTTGTTCTTGAGCTCGTTTACGTTCGTTTTCCTTTTCTTCTTCCATTTCCTTTTGCCTCAACATTTGTTGTTCTAGTTCTGCTTGTCGACGTCTTTCTTGCTCTAATCTAAAAATCGTTCAACAAAAGTAATGTATTGAACTTTTCAAGTACAAATCAAGTATTTGTCATCAACAATAGTATTTTTTTCAACTACCTCAACTTTTCTCGTTTCTCAGCTTCTTCTCTTTCTTTTCGTTCTCGCTCCTCTTGCTCTTTTCGTTGAATTTCCAACAACGTTTTTCGACGTCTTTCCAATTCCGCTTGACCTTTATCAAAGTTTTCTTTCCTCTTATCTTCAAACGAAGACTTAAAAAACAAATAACAAAAATCATGATTCTTTCATTTTTTACATAAATCTATGTAATCATGAACAAAACATTTTACTTGTGGCATGCCGGCTAGTGGGTCAACATTGTCAGGAACCCCTTGTGAGGAAACAGAACTCTGTCGTTGGCGCCTGAAAGTGGGCGGAATGAGTTCTATTGGTAATTTTGTTGGAATAACTTCGCCCATTTTCGACATGTCGCATAAATGCATCGCTAAAACGAATTCCTCGCAGCCGAGACGTCCATCCGAATCCATATCTGACAGAGCCCTGTCAGTAAAAAGCGCGTGATGAATAATTCATGGAACTGTTTTCCGTAAAAGTTGTATCTTATTTTACAAATGAATAAAGTTATTACCAGATTTGTGCAAGTATAGCCTGCGGTAACTGAGACTGTACCATAATGTTTCTAGCCTGAGGGCCAGATAAAAAACCAGTTCGCGCTCGGTCCCACGTGTTAAAAAGCTGAGTATATTTAAGTTTTGTTTGGTGCGGTACGGCCCACTCAACGGCCTGCGGTGAGCCAACGGAATGTAGACTGTGCTGAGAATCTATGGACCCTACTCTATCTATGCTCGGTGGTCTAGCTGTTGTGCTCAATGGTGTATTCGATGATACTGGCGTATGAATGACCCCTCCATTCATGGCAATCGTGTTCGGGGGTATTGGAGTCGCTGGTGGCGTTATCGTTGCTGGCATCGCGGCACCAACTACATTTCAAACACGCATTAAAAAATTTAATGCTCAAAAGAGATTTTTAAAAATTTTTGTTATTTCAACGTCACCTGCAGCCACTGGTACAATCGGAGCCATTGTGGGAGCAACGGCAGACAACGGGGGTATTATTCCCGTTGGCATGGGTTGCACTGGTACAGTCGGGCCCATGCTAAAGGCTTGCGCCGGTACTGGCGCTGTGTTTATTGGTACGATAGGTGCCACGGGTACGACTGGTACTATTGGAGCAACCGGCTGGACACCTGTGCGAAATTAACCGACCGTTAGTTTTACAAAGATATATTTGTTCAGAATCAAAGCTCTCAAAAAAAAAAAAAAAAAACTCAAGAAACGCTGTTTCAAAACTGTATAAGCATCAAAGCTCTGGCAAGCTTAGTATAGCATGTTTAATCAGGTTTCGTTTCGTGAGCATTAAATTAACACAGAACAATCTCTTTCACTTCCACGAAAGCAACAAATCCCTGCCCATACTGGATTTTAAATTGCCGGGTAGTATAGTAGTATAGTTGATAAAATAGAGATATTTTGATGCAACCCATATTGTAAGACTAATGGCACTAATGGCTAATAACCAAAGGCATAACAAAAAGAAAAAAAATTTGGCTTTAGCGCTAAAGTAACGGACAAACTGCTGTGAGGAAGCTTGTAACGAAATGTAAAATCTGTACTCTTGGTGTGTATATTTTGTGTGTACCTTCCGACATTAAAAGATCGAATAAATCTGTAAAGAAACAAAAAGGGGAAACGTGTAGGCAATTATTATTGTTTCGAAAAATGAGATACAGAGTAATATTGTGAGGTAAAATTAGATTGTATGAAAAAATTTCGAAGCTGATATATTTATATATTCTTGAATATGAAGTAAAAGTGAAGTAATCAGTGATCAACTAAACTCACCCATATTCGATACTGATGATGTCATAGGCTGAACCATCTGAACTGGTGGGGCCACGACGGGCATAACAGGCGATACAACAGTTGATCCTGCAGGGCTGTTGGGAAACGATGGTGGCTGTGGCTTCGGAGGTGGACCAGTCGTCGGTACGAATCCAGCTCCTGTTCAATTGTACGCGCATTACATGTGTATTCAGGCGAGATGAAAATTGTAAAAAACTCTAGCAAAAATACTAGAACCAATAAATAACTCGTCCTAGCCAAAGTATGCATGTACGTCGAGCTAATTTTAAGACAGTATAATAATTGTAAACACATGTGAAATATCATGACACAATTCAAACATAAATTTTATTTTCACCCTATTCATGTGGTACAAGTACAAAAATGCAATAAAAAGAATATAAACAGGCAATATAAAAGCTGTCACAGTGAAAAAATTTCCAAGTACATTATCAGTACTACTGGTCGCAATGTTTCAATAAAAAAAATACTTAAGCAAAGCAGCAACAATTCAAAGTCAATGTTAGTACAGAAGAGCCAATGTAATCGTGGGCGTAAAATTGTCACGGGTCGCGAAAATTCGTTACTAAGTCATACTAAAAATATAATACCAAGGATACACTGCACAAACAAACATCAACAACATTCCTTACAAAAAAAAAAAATAAATAAATAAAGAAAGGTCGTATTTATAATCCTAAAGTCTTGACTTGTTGTAATTAACAATTTCTTCCGTTTTGTTGATTTGTTTTAATGAAACAATACGCATATCTAGATTGACTGGCATGTCTCTTAAATCATACATGTTTCATCATGTACCTACATAAATGTGCTCAACTACAACAATCCGTAAAGTTTCGAAACACGCGCTGGACATCTTTAAAACATACCGATACTGTCGGTAGGTGTAGGTCTTTGCGGAATAGCACCACTTTCGACCTTAGCAGTGGAGTCTCCTGTAGAGCAGCATACGGAAAAACACAGCATTGAAAAAAGTCGCAGAAGCGTTATAAGCAGTACTCTTTTTTTTCTTTCCTTTCTTTTTTTTTCTTTTAAATAGAAAAAAAAGGAAAAAAACACGTATCAATGTAAAACCAACGCAAAATTATTTACTGATATAAAAAAGATGTTGAAAAAATTCTCCAATTTCTGTATTCTACACTTATTGAGCATCTACAGTCATATTTCTTTTTTTTTTTTTTTTTTTTGTACAAGCAGAAAAACCAAATATTTTGGTTAATAAATGCAATGATATGAAAATTTGAAGCGAAAATAAATGAATGAATTAGAATATACTTGGAAAATGATCACCTTCTAGATCTCATGAAAATATGCACCTTTCTTTACACCAAATGAAATGTGTGGTAAAATTTTACATATGACAATAGAATATTACAGACAAATGATGATGGTATCACAAAAAAATATTATCAACCTACTACATCTGAAAGCTAATTCCAAATGAAAATAGAGTCAAGAGATATCTCTTATACTCATCATTCTACAAAACCTACAATAAAATTGTTTTTTAACAAAACAAACTATCAAAAGTTAAGACAAAAATTTAAGCTAATTAACTTTACATCAAACGAAACACAATTAAAAACAAAATGAGAAATAAATATTGTATGTATAAGCCTTATTGTAGAAAAACAATTATGAACGATGTAATAGATTGAAATAAAATAATACATACGATTGAGAAAATTCTCAAAAATAAAGTAAGGGCAAGCAGAAAGTTGACGAGAAAAAGAAAGAGACATAGATCAACAATAGTAATCCTGAAGAATGAGCTGTAAAAATATATGACACACTGGACACCAACGTACCAGAGACATGAGTAGGTGGTGGCGGTCGAGCGGGAGGCTTTGATGGGCGTGTATTGACAGCTACAGGTTGTCTACTTTGTTGCGATGCTGTGTGTGATATATAAGTTTTTGTTTTTTTTTGTTTTATATATAAATGCAGTGGTGTGTATCTCGTTCTCCATTTTAGTTTATGTTATACTTAAGGCGATTCAAATTAGGTATGTGAGGAATTAATGGATGAACATTTTTCACGTTCTCTTAACGTAGTGTATTTTTGATAATGATTATTGTTCTACAAAAGTTAATGTCAGTCGCTTGTCATTTAACATTTGAGTATTTTTTACCTGTTCAAAAGTGATTTAGTTATACTTACAAAATTCAGTTTACTATAGTTAGTTAAAAAAGCTCAAAAAATCATTCGTTTTAAAAAAATTTGTGCATATAAGTTAATTATGAAATAATAGACAGACGTGGTGTTATATTGCAGTAGATTGAAGTAGAAAAGTGTGCTTGAAAACGATAGCAAAAAATTTTAGGTTAGTAGGTGTAATACAAAAAAGATCTGCTTAAAGTATACTTGCAAAAATTGTTTGATAAAAGTTTGAGAAAAATGCTTGATTATGCATGTGTTTTTGATACCAACTCGTGATGCTAATTTTACTAAGGGGTATCTAATGTTACGAAAAAAAGTTTTTTTTTTTCTATTATATTTTATCAAATTATTGATGAATAAAGAGAGTAATATTTTGTTATCAAAGAGAAAGCTTTTAGGATTAACAAACACTCGGTCGCACAATTTTTATTATGCAAAATGTAATGTAACATTAGATTCTTTATGATTTTTTTATTTTTCCCTAATAGCAAACAGTCAAAAAATATGGCTTCATATTTACAGCACCTTAATGTCAATTTGAGTTTCGTAGTCAAATAAGATTATCTGTATACCATCAGTACACAAATTTTTAATTCAACCAAATACCGCAAGCCATACTATACCGAACGTTTACTTTTTTGATACATGACTAATACAAAAGTGATGTTTTTGTTAATCCTTTAGAGTTTATTTCTTAATTACATGAAATATTGTTCAACACCCTGCTTGCAGTTTAAAAAAATATATACATGTATGTATATGTGTAAAATATGACTTACCAGGTGGGACTGTCATAGGGGGAACGACTGGAGGTCCAATTTTTGGTATAACTGTTTGTGCAGCTGGTACGGGTCGTGGAATACTAGCAGCAGTTGGATTTGGAGATACTGGTGGCACTGGGGACACAGCAGTTATCGGGCTTGACCCTCCTATAAAAATAAAAAGAATTTTAAATAAACTGAGAGTTTTTTCATTAGTATATAGTGAAGATGATATACCTGAAGATAAAGCCTGCAAACTTCTTAGTAGAGAAGGAGGTAATGCACTTGGTACTTCAAAACCCCTTAATTTCAAAGTTATTAGTTTGCAAGCTATGCTGAATTCATTAATGTTCATTTTTCCATCTGAATCTGTATCCGCCAGTGCCCTAATAAATTTGTAAAAATAATTGAATTAGATGTGAGTATATGCGTCATATTACCGTGTAAAAAACATTAAAATACGTACCATATTTGCCCTAGCACGGGTGGCGGAAGTTGAGATTTTAACAAAAAGTCTTTTGCCTGCACTCCAGTAATGATCCCATTTATGGGCTGAAGAGCATCAAATTGCTGCTGGTAGCGAACCCGTTCTGGCATAGTTACGACCCAAGGGTCAGTACCTGAATGAAAAGTAAGTAATCATCAGTTAAAGTATTTTTAAGTCCAATTAAGGTACTGAATGAAATGTGGCATCAGTTAAACTTAATTCAGTGATTTGAGCTTCAGACTGATAGTTGATTTAATAATACTATCATTGATCACCATACCACTTGATATGGTCATCAATGAAAAAAAAAAATAAGTTAAAAATTAGTTGTGCAGAAGATGTTAATAAAAGTTTACAGAATCTGGAAGGTATTATAAAAAAAAAAAAAAAAATAGGCTTAACATTCCAGATGACAGTTGGTAAAATGGCAATTGACAGATAAAAATGAAGCTACCAGAATACAACAACCAACACCTGTCATTGAGTAAAATCAAGGAAATGAAGATCAGCTCCTTGATCAATGAAAAATATGAAAATGCGCGTAGAGTATGGCTAAGAGAGGAGAAAAGCCTCTTATAATTGAGTAAACCAGGAATTACATAAACCAGTATGGAAGATAAGAGCCAAGCCTGATAAACAATAATCAGAGCTACCTCTTGCCCAATCAAAGAAACAATAATAATCCAAAACATCGATCTTCAAAAGCCATTGATAAGTTTACCTAATGCAACAATAATATAGGGGCAATGCAAAACCACTCACCCGGAGTAATAGGGCTGGTCATCCTGATGCAGCGGAGGCAGCAGTTTAACGACTCGGTTTACTCCCCGAGCGCCTCTTGAATGGGGCTCGACACTGTCCTCCAAGTTTCCTCGCAACTCCTTGGAGATGATTGAAAGGAAGGGAAGGAAAGAAAGGCTCGTTCAGAACGAACGCCTGCTGCTCGCCAGCATCGCTATAGCTGCATTTTCCTCCCCGCTCTCTTGGCTTTTTCTTCCTTCTCACGGCGCGCCTAGAGCAGGCTCTTCCTCAAGGTTAAAGAGATACAAGTCCACAAGCACGCACACACGCACTAGACTTCTCTCTCACCACTTTTTCTCTCTAATTATTATCTCTCTCGTCGTCGTCACACTCTACTGTCGGTCGTCGTCGGCGGCGGTTGTCGCTCGTGTGTATATAATACAACATGTAACAGTCGCGCAAGTGAAAGACCGAGCAATTGAGGTGTGTGTATTTTTTGTACGTATATAGGTACGTATATGTGCGGCGCGCGATCGATCCTCCTATACTCCTGGCCCTGTGTAATCTGCGTGCTCTCTACGCTCTATACGTCGTCGTCGTCGTCGTCGCCGTCTCTCCCCTAGCTCCCTTTCATTCTCTCTCTATCCTTCTTTGTTGCTCTACCCCGCTGTGTTGATGATACTAGCTATATACTCGATGATAATGTACAACTGCTCCAAAAAGTCCTGATGACAAAAATGTGCGAACAAAAAAAAAGAATAATTATATGCAATACATGGCACACGCACTCTTGCAACTTGCAATCACTAACGCGATAGTAGTGTGATGCTACAATAGAAAATATCTTGTACATATACACTATGATCCACGAGTTGAGCTTTTACGCCGACTTCCTGGCATGCAGTGTATAAGATACACAATATGCGTTTATGGGTCGATAAAAAATAAAAAAAAATATATACGCACATCAGACGATAGCAGACTACACACGAGCGCTACACTTGAGCAGACTTTTATCTGACACCCGCGAGGAGCAGAAAGAGCAGCCCCTGCAATATGCAGCGCATAATGCAAAGTCTCCAAAAGCTCAAATTGCCGCAAGGTGTACTTATATATGTATATATTACAATGTTGTACTCGATCGAGCAGTGAACTTACAATCACCGCGTGCACTTTTTTCCCGTCAATACTTTCGGGGAGTAAGTATATAAGTAGGTGGGCAGATATACATTGATATATATA